ATTGTTCAGTGCTGCCACAGCAGATTACTGCTCCTCAATCTCATGAATAGTCACACACAGAAAAAATATATTTTCAGTCCCTTTTGGCGGTGTTCTTTTGTTGCTAATATTGCGGGCAAATTTTTTTAGCGAGCTGAGGGCCGTTGGATTAAAGTCACATCGGACGTCGATTAAGGTGCTGCCATCAAAGTTGGGGCCCCATCTGGCGACTGTCAAGGCCTATATGTAGAGTAGACCCAAAGGCTTCCAATCACAGGCCCATCGCTTTCCAGAGGGGCACTGCACACCACACTACAAACAAAAGGCCCAACAATAAAAATATGTAATCCAAAATGGAGTTTCACATGGAAAAAAAATAAAAATAAAATAAATAGAATGAAGTGATTTATTTAATTAACAAGACGTTTCATTCTGCTGCAGTTTTTTGTACACAAGTGAAAGTCAAGAAATCCCACTCGTCCATAATTCTCTGTGGGTGTGTCTATATATTAAATATCTCAATCTTATTCGATTCATAATAAAAATTTAATTTAATTTTAACTTAATTTTATTATTTTTAATATTATTAATATAATTAAATAATATCAATTAATCATTCTTGAAACGAAGTTGAGGGAGTGTAGAATACGCAGACTGTGTTAGAACACAGAAATTTTATATTCCTAAACTGTGTTGCAACACAAATAAATAAATTGCAGAACCGATATAAAAAATATATTTCTTCGGACAGCGTCCCACTATTCCTTAGCGCTTTCATTGATAAATCAATTTGCGTCCCATAAAGTACAACTTAGACTTACTCGACTCGGACTTCCTTCTAGAGAAGCCACTTTGCGGCCGAGTGTTTGGCGACTCTAGTTCATCACTGTCCTAGTGGATTGTCAAAGATTATTAGACCCATCATCAGTAGTTAAACCATGATTACAGCATGACTTTATTGACATTGCTTACGTGCGGAATATAAATGCCTGATGACATTAGGCTACAGCCTCCTTTATTTGTNGAAAAAAAAAAAAAAAAATATGTTGTGTGTTGTGTTCGTGACAAACTTATATACACTTTACATCAAAGCACAAATTATAATCTACACATGTTTAAGGTTACTCAAAACATGCAAACTTTTTTATTAATTATGAGGGGATGCAATCCGTGCGGTATATTTACCTTTCACTTTTCATATTATTAGCTGTAATGTGAAAACATGTTAGTAATTAGTTGCAAGAGTGCCCCACAAGAACTTTTCTAGCTCGCTAGTCAATAGTCATGAAAAGATATGATTTAGTGCCATTTTTGTGCTAAGGTAATTGAGACTTGCACGCCATCGTGGAGAAATAATGGATTTAGTGATTAGCCGTGTCTCGTGTGCTTAGGATTAAGTAATTAGATAAGTTGTAATTAGTAATAATATTACATTGTAGCCATTAAGTTTACATTATTATTATATTTATGATCACATTGTGAATTGAATAATGAAAAATGATTACATTAATAAATAGGTTGACATGAAATATAGTTTATTATAACATTTGAACAATGAAGATGTTATAAGTTTTAATGGTCGTCTATTAGCCAATAACATTTCATGATTTCAACATTAACGATGTGTTCTACCATTCATCTATTAACCAAGAGTATTACCTTAAACTAAGACAATCCATACTCCACATAAGTTAAGAAGTTATAATGAGTGGAAAATAGTTTTCAATCCATAGTTATGAAAACGGTAAGTTAGAAAGTACTTATAAATATATATGAGTTTTATTGATTTAAATAGACCTACAAATTACAATGTGAACCACTCTACACGAAACCTCTACCAATTAATAATTTAATTATATTCATTTCTAAAATAATAAGCTGTTGAGCAGAAAAGTTTTAAAAACAAATTCAAACAGCCATATTAGAGGGATGAACTTATTCATAATTAAGCACAATCTATCATTATATAAAAATAATAATTTTTTTACAAATTTAGAAATATTTTCCCGCCAAAATATATCCTACATATAGTAATTATTGAACGAATCTGAATAGGCAAAAAAAACGGCTCATTAATTGTGTAAAGATTTGTTTATCTTTTTCATGTTTTTTAGTTTATCAAAACCGTTGTTTGATAATAAATATTTGTTTTTTTTTTCCTATTTTTAGTATAAATCTACACGAGCTTATATCATCTATTACAAAATCCCATTACATACGTCTCACGTGTTTAAAAAATCTCATCCCTTATCTATATAGATTTGAAAAAATAAAATAAAATAGAAAGCAATTCATAATTACTACTAGAAATCTATTATCTTTAAAAAGAAAAAATAAAATAAAATATAAACTAATTCATAATTACTACTAGAAATTCATTATCTACTTTAATAAGCTAATTTTCATCGGTCTAATTACTAATATTTTTACAAATATTATAAGCTAATCAAACAAAAAAGTATAATAATAATTTTAAAAAGATGTGTAATCAAAATTTTTTATATTCTCTTATACAAAATAATTTTACATTGTTTGACCTCAAATCTTTAATTTATAATTATTAAGTATTGTTTATCCTTTCTTTAATTTATAATTATTTTTTTTCTCTCTCTTTTAAAATAGGATCAGTAGTAGTTTTCACTTTCACTATTGAGTGACTCAAACTCGAAGTCTATTTATGATATTATTAATTTAATATTGTTCCGGTGGATCGCTTCAATTATTAATGGAGTATTGTGAAACGACACTTGAACCAGGACCATTTCATGGGCTTTGGAATCGTATATGGGCCTCCAACTAAACATAGGATTTAATTCCCATTTGGAATACGGGCCTATTCGTAGCTCGAGAAACCCAAAAGGCCCAACCAAGCAACAACTTTCTTCCACCGTCACCACAGAATGTTGAGAAAAACGTGAATCACAACTCGCTCTCGTTCAAACTACGCAAGAAGAATATTCCTAAATCCTTTGAATCAAACCAACCCTTTTTTCACCTTACCCTCTGACTAGGGTTTTTCTTGTTCTCTGGAGGGTTTTATTCACACATCATCCCAAGATATTAACTGAAGCTCGAAAAGATCAATGGCGGCCTCTGTAAATTTCCGGTCAACCACTCGAGGCTGAAATGATCCACTGACATGCTAAGTTCTGGACATCGATTATTCGAGGAGCTTTGAGTAAAAAAGAAGTGATTTTTAATTTTGTGGTGGGCTTGATGGAAGCTGGGGTTGGGGTGGACGGCGGCTCCGCCACGAGGAAGTTGCTCCAGCACCACCGCGCGCGGCCGCCGCAGCAACAGCATCAGCCGCAGATATCGCAGATTGGGACGGTCCCGCAGCTCCTCGCCGGCGGCATAGCTGGGGCTTTCAGCAAGACTTGTACTGCGCCTCTAGCTCGCCTCACCATTCTTTTTCAGGTGTGTTTTCGTTTTGTCCTTTTGTTGTTTCCCACCTTCTTTTTATGTAAACTATGCATAATTTGGGGTGTTAGTGTTACTATGGAGCTTAATGAATTCCCCCTAGCACACCAAAANAAAAAAAAAAAAAAAAAAAATGCATCTTTTGTCTTGGGTATTGTGAAATCAAGTTATGCCATGATTTATCTTGAATTACTTTCAAGCTCTTTTGGTTTTGTACTAGTTTTGCTTCGAATTTGCATTCCTAATGCAAAACGGGAAAGTTAATTTGGATTTTTTCATTTTTCCCCTCCCTAAAAGTAAGGTTTATCAATGCTGGAACCCAATTCCATTTCCAAGGTTATTGAATCTTGTTACAGTCACATATACGTATGGCATATCAGTGAACCCGAATTCGAATTCTTTTATTTCATCAAGAACATAATTTTCTCATATTAGAACCATCATACAATGCCATCCATCTCTGTTTTGTAGTGTTATCGTTTTCCCATTTATTCTCTTTATGTACTAACTTACTTGTTCTTTGTATTAGGTGCAAGGCATGCATTCAAACATTTCAAGTATGAGCAAACCTAGTATATGGCGTGAGGCAGCACATATATTCAATGAAGAAGGTTTTAGAGCCTTTTGGAAAGGGAATTTGGTTACTATAGCTCATCGTCTTCCTTATTCTGCCGTCAACTTTTATTCGTATGAACAGTACAAGAGGGTAAATGCTGTTTTTTGACGAAATTGAAGAGTATTTGATGGCATATTGCACAATTGCTGTTTTATTAATGTTATATAAATCTTTTGGCAGATTTTAAGATCAGTTCCAGGTCTTGATGGGCAAGGGAAGAATGCACATGGAGATGTTTTTGTGCATTTTGTGGGTGGTGGCTTAGCTGGGATTACAGCTGCTTCTGCCACATATCCTTTGGATCTTGTTCGGACAAGACTTGCTGCACAGGTGCAAAAAATAATGAAATTTGGGACCTTAAAAACTCGTTACAAGATAGAATATTTTCTTCACATTTTAAGTTCCTATCTCTGTTTTGAGCTGGTTTGCAGCAACATGAGTCCCTTTTCGAATTTATCCATGTTCTGTGCATATATCTTATTATGGATATGGTTTTGTTTTCTCATTTTATCCTGAAAATATTGTAGAGGAATGCAATTTACTATCAAGGAATAAGGCATGCCCTTCATACCATCTGCAGAGATGAAGGTTTCTTTGGCCTGTACAAAGGACTTAGAGCAACATTATTGGTACTTTATATATATATATATATATATATATATATATATATACATATATTGCATTTTCATAGATGATTAGATTTGTTTCTGATTTTTTCTTTTTCGTGTTTGCTTCAGGGTGTTGGACCGAGTATAGCTATAAGCTTTTCAGTTTACGAGAGTTTGAGATCGTTTTGGCATTCTCAAAGGTGAAAAAGAAGAAGCTCACTTATTGAATTTTTAAATCTCCTCTCTTTTGTTTATTCGGTTACACGACATTGGAATATTTATTGTAGGCCCAATGATTCGGCAGTTTTGGTCAGCCTTGCTTGTGGCAGTCTTTCTGGCATTGCTTCATCAACAGGTCTGTGTGTGTGTGTGTGTGTGTGAGAGAGAGAGAGAGAGAGTGTTGGAATATCCTCCAAAATTTGATTCATTTTAAACAAGGCAAAATTGCATTTTTAGTCTTAATAACATATCAATTTTAGTCCCAAAGTTTCAATTCGCCTGATTTGATTTAATATTTTACTCCAATTTCAGTCATTTGAAATTGAAGTTGCAACGAATTTCCAAATTCCCAGTTTTTCGATTAGCAATTTAAGTCCTGTAATTTAAAATTTTGTTAGCAATTTCAATCCTCAAAAAAAGGACTGAAATCGCAGCAAAATATTAAATCACATGACGAAAAGGCAAAAGTTGGAACCTTGGGACCAAAGTTGCTAAAAATGCATTTTTGCCTTTTAAACGATCATATTATCGATTATCATTTACATGATTTACTTTCTACATTACTTTAATTCATTACAGCAACATTTCCTTTGGACCTCGTGAGGCGGAGAATGCAATTGGAAGGTGCAGCTGGTCGAGCCCGAGTGTACAATACTGGAATTTTCGACGCATTCAAACACATTGTCCGAACAGAAGGCTTTCATGGCTTGTACAGAGGAATCATGCCCGAGTACTACAAGGTTGTACCGAGTGTAGGGATCGTTTTCATGACTTACGAGACATTAAAGAAGCTACTTTCACACGGCCCTTTCAGTTAGTTTGCGCACCCCTTTTTTTTTTTTTTTAGGTAGCAAATTTTGTTTGTTTAGGACTTGTGAGAGGCATTTGTGTGCTGTTTTGTACTACGGTTGAGTATCTTTGTACCCGAGTGTTACTCGTCTATTAGCTTTTTTATTATTCGAAGGGCTGATATTCTTTCGAAACGTGTCTATTAGCTTTCGACAAAACTTCCTACAGGAGCATACATTTTTCCATTCTATGAATTCGACAGAGTATTTTAAATGAAGTATAATATAATTGTTTTTTAGTCGATTCTTCGGTTGCTTCTCGTGTTTATGTGATAAACTCACAAGAAAGGTATTATAAATGTTAATGGAAATTCATATTCTCTTCTCTGCTATGCACTGCATTTTTCATTGGTGATCATCATAACACAAGCAGAGGATATTTAAATTAGCAGAACACATGAAAGGTGTATAGACATATAGTTTGGCCATTGTTAGCTATACCCGAAAATCGGGTAACAACTTCTCAAGCCACACGAAAACTAAAAGTTGATTATGGTCCCCTAATTAAGTTTGTTAAGTGGGGGATAAAGAGATTCTGCATAGTTAAGAAGTTGAATGTGAATGCATACTATTGCATAGTGTACACACAGGGAAAAACAAGCACCATTTTACAAGTTTTTGTACTGTGCTGCATTTCTGGTATAGAATGAGAAAGAAAAAATGTTTAAGCTCAGATAAAATTTCATCTTATTTCCTGTAGCTATTTTTTGNATCTTAGAGATTGAGATTGGACTAAACTATTACATATATTTTATAAACTTGTACTGAAAAATATTCCACAGCCTACTAGTCGGAAAATGTTGAAAAATAGTTGGAAATAATTAGAATATGATAAAAATAAAATGGTTGAAAACAAATGTTCTGCTTTGCATATTTCAGTTGCAACATTTCTCTTGGAAACATAAACAGAACTATTCTGAAAAAATGGTGTAAGTAAAAATATCAATAAATGAGAACAAGAAACTTTTGATACAGAATGACAACTCATTTGAAGAATCTTGAACTGATATTGTGTCCCAAATGATCAAACACATTAAAAAATTGAGTCCATAGGATAAATCATAACCTCTAATACATTATTACATTCATATGATATTCAAAGGCACAAAAACAGATAAAGAGAAGGGGAACACAGATAATGATGATACATATGTACACACCAGAAATCACTGAATCATCATTATTATTATTATACTGCCAAATCTGGCCAACCTGTATAGGTTTATCCAATTACAGTTCAAACACAGTTGTTCTGCCTCTAAAAATATGAAGAACAAACAAAATCTATAAATCCAATAGCTAAAAATCACCACAAAGCAACAAAGAAAACTTTCTGTAAAAGGAAATAAACAGTAAATTTAACCCCACCAAACAAATCCCCCCCAAAAGCCTTTCAATCACTTGCAGGTCTCAAGAAAAAATTCAGAAAGCATAAATTTTTCTCACCCCTAGCAAAAGAGAGAACCCAGAAAAGAACAAACAAATCACAAAAAAATCAGAAAACCACATATTTTCAGATTTTTTTTTTCACACACAAGAAAACCCAGAAATATTCATCCTTTCACATCTTCACCTTGTTCTCATCAAGAAAACACTGAGTTCCTGACTCGGCCCTCCATCTGGGTTGATCAAATGAAAAGATTCCGAGTCAGCACTCCCCACAACACACTCGTAATTAGCTCGCATATACATGATTTCCGGGCCGGGCTCGAGCCCGACCGGGAGCACGCCTGCCCCAACAGTGATGTTCTGCATTGTGCGGAGCATCAGACGGATCTGCCGGGTTGCCTTTCTCCGGACGGCAAACCCGAGTTTCCGGCCGTTGCAGAAGAGGGTCCAGACAGGGACGGAGTGAAGGTGGCAGCGGCTCAGCTCGGACTCGGATGACTCGGCCGAGTTGAACTCGAGGGCGATTCTGACCAGCCCGCACTGCATCTCCTGGATGAGGGCCGACGTGGGGATGGAGAGCTCGAGGAGGAGGGTCGGACGGGTCGAGAGGCGGTCCAGCTGGATGCAGAACCAGACGTGGCCGCCGCGCCGGTGGCCGAAGATGGTGCCGATGCCCATCGTACGGGAGGAGCGCGGGTGGGAGTACGCGGCGGCAGAGGCGGACGGGTGGGCGGCGGGCGAGGAGGAGGATGAGGATGAGGAGGAGGGGGATGGGGGCTCCCGGCCGGCGGCGGGGAGGGGGCGGTCGGGTTCGGCGGCGCGCTTCTTCGCGGCGGCGGCGGAGGAGTCGAGGTCGTCGCGGAGGGAGGTGCTGAGGCGTTTCTTGGACGCGGCGGCGGAGGAGGAGGACGGCGGGGTAGGGGCGGTGCGGGTATGGTGGAAGCAGGGGAAGAAAAAGCGGCGGAGGGCGTCAGTTTTCGTCATGGCCGGAAAAATCAAGAAAGGGTCTTTCTTGGTGGGTAAAAATCAGAGCTTGAAGAGAAAAATCGGAAAAAAAAAGGCAAAGAAAGGGAAAATGGAAAAGGGTGGAAAAAGATGACNTATTAAGCTATATTTGGTAAAGCTAGCTTATAGCTTATCAGTAATTTTTGAGTTTATAACTTATAGCTTATAACTTATAGCTGAAAAGCTAGCTTATATGATAAAAGTGTTTGGTAAAATTAGTTGATAAGTTAGCTGAAATAAAAATTTTAACAGACTTATTTGAAAAGCTACCCAAAGAAGCTTATCAAATAAGCTAGAACTTTTTAAATAAGCCCGTCCTACCAAACGGAGCTTATTTGAATACAGAGAGCTTATAAATTAACCAAATAAGTTATAAGCTAGCTTATTGCTGTACCAAACATAGCCTTAGTGATAGCTTATATATGATTGTATTATCAGATTTCGGATAGTTGCTTTTATTTACACGATTTGGTCAGCATATTCAATTAGTGGTTTATCAAAAAAACCACTGAGTGCATAAATTTATGTTACGTTGTTTTTAGAGTTGTTAAAATGAAACAGATTGCTCGTAAGTTCTCTTCGTTAAAACTCGAACTCATTTAAAGTTTGTATAATTAACAATTAAGCTCTTTAAAGGCTAAAAAATATTTTTTTGTTATAATTTCTGTAGCTCGACTCTTTAAGGCTCACACTCGATTTGTTAATATTGGTGAATGAGTTGAACTCGAAATCAAATCTCGAGTCATTTACATCCTTGCTTATATTGCCTTTCTTTAATCATTTGTTTTCAAAATTCACCTCTTCTGAAATTTTATAGAATTAGTGTTTTGAATCACCAAGCTAATCTATATATATACAAAGAGGAGCAACAAAACATTTAACTTTATTACCATGCATTAAATTTTATTCTCATTCTTTAAATTTTATTCTCCCTCTAAAATTTTTAGCATTTAATTTTATTTTTAGGTTACAAAATAATTTGTTTGAATGTCATAAATTATGAGCATAAACCAATCAAGGGAGGTACAAAATTGTACTCAAATTTTAAGTCACACCCACTCATGAAAATAGCCGGGTGTATTAGCATAAAGAAAATGGTTGTAACGGCTTTTCTATAGCAATTACTTGATCAAAATCATTTTGAGAATTATTTTCTTAATTCATATTTTTTTTATGAATTAAATTATAATTTATTTTTTATATATATATTTTTATCTTTTTAAAGTATTCGTCTCTGTGCGAATGCACAGATTGATTATTAGTTACATAAATAATTTACTAAACAAGATAATTAGCGAATTAAATGCACTAGAATGCTAACAAACAAATGAGTAATGAGGGCTTTGAAATTGGATGAAATGAATGCTTTGAGCTGTTTTCCACAGGGGTTTACAGTGACTGGAGATTCCAGTTTTTGACCGTTGACCGAATATTCAAGTGCTGTAGCCTTTGGGGCCGTACAAAAAGTAGGATACGTGTCATCTTTGAATCCAGATTAGCTAAATGGAGCCACTACAAAACTTATGTGCATATTTAGTTTTAACCTCTTA